GAATTGGCTTGTTTTACAACGTCGTTGCCAAGCGACGAAAACCCAACCCCGATGGCAAACACGGGGGGGGGGGTCTTGTGGGGGGGGCGGACTATCTCGTGTCGGCGTATTGTCTTGTGACGTATACGGTACACTCAAAAGCACACTACGTGGAACCGTGACTGCTATTTGTACGATGTTACACTGCTGTGGGTGCATCATGCGCGTGTTATGCCTTCCATTGTCCCTGTTGTGCAGGTAAGGCGAAGGTTGCGCCGCATCGTGTGGCACTGCAGCCAGGTGTTGATAAACCAGTGCGCGTCGTGGCTTCTACACGGACTGCTCGTAGACCCATGCGGGGAGTTCTTCGTGCACAAGAACTTCGACCCAACCTGTGAGCGGGATGCGTCTACAGCAGTAGTAGAGTATGCCATCAAGGACAGGGTGATGCTACTGGAAAGCTGTGTGTTTTGTCTTTGCGAGATTGGGGGACGACTAGAGCGCATTCTTGCCCCTCGCTGTTGTTCCGACCTCCTGGCAATACCTTGCATACTGCTGTACCCCGACAGCTAAAGCTTAGCAGCTTTTCCTTAGCTCCTCGATAAGGTATAAAGAAAAAGCGTGGGTGAGTTTGGATTATATTTCAACGAGATGGCTGGTTCAGCGGTACCTTCACCCAGTGCTTTGGAAGCGTGTGCAAGCTGGGGAATACATGACCACAAGGCCCCCCTCGATCCCTAACAGCACATGATGCATCGAGCGTGGCGTTGGAGGGACTTGATCTTCCCCCTCGCCAAACGGCGCTGCTGTTGTTTGCTTACTTGGACCGTAGTATCGGCTGCAGGCACCGCGACCAGATCGAGCATGGCCACCAATCCGGATGAAATCTGGAACGACAACGAGAACGACCGCTGGACAGCTCTGAACGATAGCGTGGAAGGCGCGTGGGAGGGTGCCGTCGACTGGAGGGCCGAGGAAGAGTGGAACTCGACCTATACCTTGAGACTTCCCCTCGTACCCACTTCCTTCGTGCCTCACGGGTGGGACCATGAACTCAGTGGCCTACAAGCAGTATTTCCGTCCGCGTGTTACGTGTTGCTGTTGCAGTTGCTGGTTGTGCTGTGTTGCTGTGGTTTCGCTTTTGTCCATCCTGTCGATTCTCTAGGCCATTCTAGTTGTTCTACTATCGTTCGGCCAGTTGGATAGGTAGACCTTAACCCGGGGGTCACCCGAAAACCTCCATCCGCTCACCGTGATTCGATGCCTTCTCTCGTCCACACCTCATATCGAGATATGTGTACTCACGATCAATGCGCGATGCCGGGGACTGTACCCCTCGGCGTGACCGTCAGTAGGATTTCGAGGGTACCGTTGGGCCGCAGGAGGCGACCCATAGTACATTGATTTCTTCGTAGAGGCGGGGACGTTGTTCTCTCGCATCGCATGCAATGTTTCACAATGATCCGGCCGTGGCGTTTTGCTTGGAAGTGTTGCTGCGGCCGCCAGTCGTGGCATCGGCCCTGTGTATTGACCCTCGTAGGGATTTCCGTTGTGGCATCACCCAACGTGGTTGCTGTACGCTTGCACGCGAAATGTTTCTCAATGAGCATACATTCAAGGGACCTGGCGTGCACTTTGTTTTCTTGCATGACGCTGTTGGTGCAACTGTCGTGTCTCCCTTTTGGACGTTCGGCGTACCCTCCATTTCTCCGCGTGGCAGGCTCGCCCAGAAGATGCTGTTCGTAGGAAAGGTGGTTCGAGTACTGTGCCAGGCAAATACGCTATCTCTGTCCACTTCAGCGGCGCCGCCTTCGGCGTGGCCAGGCGACAGCGCTGTCGGCGATGGCGTTGGTGACGGTGTGGGTGGCGACGTGGGAGTGAGTGAGGCGGAAGTGCTGGAGCTGACGCAGCGCTGGTCGGAGTTGCGCGATCGGGAAGACTTCCATCTCTTGGCACTGGAGAGAGCCGTACACGAGGTGATGCCATGTTGCCGGGGGCATCAACCGCAGTAGCGGGGAGGGTCCTCGCTGCGTGGTACGCTATGCACTTGGCTGAAATGCGTGCTTTTGTATCGGTCTGTCTCTCTGGCTTTCTCTCGTTCTCTCTTCTCCGGCGTGCTATTTTCTCTTAGGCGAGGTACACACTCGCGATCGTTCTGCAAACGGAACCAAGTCTGTAGTGTCGTACCTTACCGGTGCTTTGGTACCTGGTATGTAGCCGTTTTGCGGGTTGGGGAGTATCCCATGAGCTCTATCGACATGCCTGCGTAGCTCTATGTTGGGTACTTTCCCACCACACTGCCCCTCTCCACGACCGTACCGATTCCGCTCACCCTGCTTGGGCGATAGGTAAGCTATCACAATAATGAGGTTCACCCCCTTCGGACGCTGCGGGTTTACTGACATTGGTGGCGAACGTTAAGCTTGCCCCTCTTTTTTTTTATCCGCTCTACTCCACCCCAATGCACCAACCCCACGGATCAGGCTCACTCTTTGGTGGACCGGCGACTGTACCGCCTATTGGTGAACGTCGCGGGGCTAGAAGGGCACCTGTCCAGCTTGAAGAGGCTGTTTCTCATGGGACACGGGTCACTGTTCCACTCTTTCTTAGACAAGGCGAGGGAGGCAATGAAAGTCAAGGCCGGAGAGAGGTAACACGGTGTTGATTGAGCAGTATCCACCGTGAGCCCTTGTGTCCGATAATAATCCAGGTACAGTCCGCAGGCAACGCTTGCTGATGTAATCCCACGACTGCTACACTGTTACCGACAGCAGAAACCGCCCGTAGCACATGAACTCATCGCGTTTTGGTGGGGTGCAGTGTTTCTCAACATCGATCCATCGACGGTCTTCTGTGTGATATCGACGCCCCACTGGCGGTGCTTGTGGGCCATCTCCTACCCCGCTCATTCACCAACAACATTGGAATCACCTCGCAGGTCGTTTCCGACAGGCCAGTGTTGCGCATCGTTCAGGTTGCGCGACGTGCGAATTTTCTTTGAATATAAAATGCCAGTTTGTCGAACGATGAGAGTGTGAGCCCTCCTTCATCCACGTTCGCCAACCTACACTCATGCTCTCCTGTTTTCTCAGGGCGGTGCTGGATCTGAATACGTGGCTGGCGGCTGCCGTCGAGGACACCGAGGGTCATGACTCGGACGGAGCGGCGCCTTCCTCTGCAAGCACGCTGGACAGGGCTAGGCTCGACCTCGATCCGCCTGGGTTCTCGTGCAAGGCATTCCAGGATCTCGCGGTGCGGCGGCCGTATTGTGTGGCGCGGATTGTCGTATCTTGTGACTTTAAGGTGTTGTGTTCTTACTTTTTCAATGGCCACATTGCTTTTCACCTGGTTCGATCCGCGGCGTTTTTCATGCGAAATGCTGCTTCAGCAGCATTGCAACAGGTTTCTGTGAAAGATCGATTAAGACGACGGGTGTTGCCTAAATGCCAGACCTGCCAATATTCTGCAGAGCAGCTGTTTGTGTCATTTTCAGTTGCAATTGTGCCGTTTTATGTCTTCATGAAGTTCAAGGTGTTGGCGTTATTGATCCATGTTGACCTCGAGAACTCCACCTTCCTTTGCTGAATCCCGTGACTGAACGACGGCGACAACTTCCTCCTACCCTCCGCATAATTTCCGTGCGCTGTGTTGGTCCGTGCAGAGGCAAGGGTTCTGCGTCAGAGGCGCGGCAATACATTCATCCAGGAAACCCTCCGTGTGTCTCTGTCCGGGGGACTATGGTCGAACATCTTCCTCTCCTAAACGGTCGGCCTCATCTTCCTCGTCGTCTTTGAGGGTATCCAGACCAAGAGCAGCGCCAACAGCTCCCCCACCGACGGGGGCAGGGGCGGGTTGGTTGTGGTACACTTCGGACAGAGAAGTTCACAGAGGATTCCGAAGCTCGGTGGCTTTTCGCTGCGATCGTCACAAGCCCAGCCCCGACGCTATCCCCGGTAGTGCTCCACAAGAGACATGCGGGGCGCAGGTCGCGGGACCCGCAGGACCCAGCCTGAGCTTTGTCGTGCATCAGCACCGCGCTGCCCTAAGCGGGAGCGAAGAGAGTGCGGAGGAAGGGATTGGGATATCAGCGATGGTGCCGAACAGCTTGTCCGTGCGGCTTGAACCGGACGGCGAGGGAGGCGGCCAGGTGTCCATCAGGTGAGACACCGGTTGTCGATTCCTCTATGTGTGTGGTGTGTTATGGCGTGGCGTCGCTAGAGAACCACGAGTAAGAGGCGAACCCTTTGGGTAGGCAAAGGGAAATGAGCGCTCGGTGGACAGATCGTCACGGTGGGCAGATCGTAAATCGTGGAACAATCGTGATCTGCTGGTGTTCGGCCAATCTTCAAGCCAGCCATGACTCTTTCCCCTCTTTCCCCTCTTTCCCCTCAAAGATATACGAAGAACTGAATTTGTTACTCTGAGATATTCTCCAGTGGCACTGCTCTCCTCAGATGCTCATAGGCGTGAATTGCCAAGGCGAACTACTGCCCCCCCCCTGTAGTCTTTGTCAGACGCCAATCTGCCTCCCTCCACTGATGGCTTAACCGCCCTTTGCTGTCCTTCAGGTGGAATCCCCACCGGTCTCCATCTCTTCCCCGTCCAGATGTAGATATAGGCACGTTTCTCGCGGGCACTACCAACAGGCGGGATGCCTCGGTCGGGGAGGTCGACGGAGACAATCTTGGTCGAGGACAGAGCAAAGGCAAAGCGGTACATTTGCTCGGGCGGGCCACTCTGCCCAACTCGTGCGGCCTATCTCTGGGCCAAGTGAACTACTTAATGGTGGACTACTCTCTAGGGGAACGACCAAGGCCAAGAAGGGACGAGAGAGATGAAGCCGGTTCAAGAGAGAGAGGGCTGGGTGTAGGAGCTGAGCTGATGGTGTTCGTGAACGATCCCGGCCGCTCGGGATCGCCGGTACTTTCCGTCAAGCTCGACATGTGGAAGCTCATTGAGCTGGGCGGGTGAGGACAACACATGTGTTCTCGCATTCTGTTGAAAGCAGTATTCACGAAGCTATTTGTTGTTACGTTACAGTGCTCTTTAGAGCATCGTCTCTTTTTCGCAGGAGGAATACGCTTCAGTGCTATCGACGGTGCATGTTTTTCACTGTGTGGTGCGGTCGACTGTTGCTTCTGTTGGAGGATGAGAGTTCGGGGATGGCCGGTGCGATGTGAGTCTTCGATGTTTTTGATACACGACGGCGCGTTGAGTGGCTCATATTTCCCGGCCGCTTGCAGGGTCGCATGCATAGCCCTTTCAACTGATGATCTCGCTGACGTGCTACCTTCCAACGTCGAACTTACCGCAATCGACGCGGACTTCCGAAAATACTTGAGCAGAGGGCATGCGTTCGTAGGGGTGTCTGCTGAAGGACCATGGAGAACCACGCTGCGACAGGTGAACCCCGCATTATGCTACGTGCCACGTACCTTCCTGATAGTCGGCAGACCGATATTGCTATCGACATCCACTAGATGATACAATAGTGGCCAGTCAGTTGTGCTGTGGCCGGTGGATCGTGTTACACAGATGGATGAGTGTCAATTTGTCTCACCCTTCAAATAGTGCTGCAAGGTGCCCGGTGTAGGGCCGACCGAAATCACTTGGCACCATGCTACCTTGTACAAGGACCACTATCGCTCTCACTGGTTTATCCCCTCTGTTTTTGGGCGTCGTGCATGCCGATAGACGTTCCGCGAGAGTCGTACCGCCCGCCCGTCGTGACGTCTCTGCGTGCATCAGATGTGGTAGATGTAAAGGGGCTTTTGAGCCAAGAAAAATATGCTACCACTGACAGAACTTGTACAACCTCGTTGAGTGTTGGAAGCCCTCGCTGTCCTTCATGGAAGCACTGATGGTTGTCATCAAGGCTGTAATAGTGGTGCGTTTGATTCGACCCGTTGCACTGTCACAGTGGGACTTCCATTTGGGATGCTCTTCGACTACTGTCGGCAAACCGCAGACGTCGTCGGGGCCGTTGGGTGGTGTCAGATCGGGTCCTAGGGTAGAGGAAATGCTGGAGGCGATGGACTCGTGGAGCGGCCTGTGCCTGCATTACAGGTGTGGATTGTCCACCTGCAGTTACCGAGCTACAGTATGCCAAGCGACTGCATCAGATTTTGCAGCGCATCCCTAACGCTGCAGCTCAACGTTGTTTCTGTTGTTGATGAAGTGTGCTTGGGTTGCGTGCTTCGAGTTCAATGTTAGGTCGTTTGCCTGTGACATGTCAACAATGTTTGAAGGGCCAATGGTGTGGCGTACAAATGGATGCAGTATCAAAGTCCATTTCCTGCAGGCACAACCACCGATGTTCTGTGACCTGCCGAGGACGTCGACAAAATCAACCGCATCCTTGATCGGCGTCTTCTGCACGTTCATGTTGGCCGCATACACTTAAGCCGACATGAAGAATGTCTCTGGGTTACAACGCCATGCTAGACTAAGCTTACCGGCTAGTGATCATTGCTCCCCTTTGCCCAAGGGTGTTAATTTTTTGGGTCGATGATGATGCTGACCGAACGATTGTGGACACGTTTCACGTCTTGCCGTTGGTGTGTATGGCAGGCTGGAGTGGCCAATGCACTTGGTGCTGACGCGAGAGACAATGCAGACGTACAATCGTCTTTTTCGCCTCCTGGCCTGCGTCAAGAGGGCCAACCTGGAGCTTGAGCGGGTGTGGCCCGCCCTCATGCAAAGCCGGTACCGGTAAGTACAGCCAATTTCTTTGCCGGCAGTCGCGACTGTCGATCTCGAAAGAGAGTATCCGACACTTAGCGATTATTGTTCGCCCAAGGACTTCGACATCGAAGGCAGCTGCATGATCGTCACACTCGTTGTTATTTGCCGTGTCGCTGACCACAAACCCGAGAATGCCTTGATCCTGAACGACTTCTTTACGGGAAATCTAGGGGCTTGGCCAATGAGGAGGGGGCATGGCTGGGTCCCCTGTGGATGTTGCGAGCACGCATGGCCTTCTTCGTGTCCAACCTGGCATTTTATTTGCAGGTAATGTTGAACGGCACGGACGGAACAATGACTATGATAGCGAAACAAGTGCGGTACGTGATCGATCTGCGGCCGAAATGCCTTGGAAATTCAGCGGGCTACAGGGTTTGGGGTCCATCTTGTTATTGCTCGCGGTTACAGAACGCCAATTTGTTTGTGTGTACCAGACTAGATTATGCATAGCAAAGTTTCAGCATATTCAGTTGCTCTCCGCTTTGCGAGAGCGTTCGAGGCTGTGGCGCGCATGCGATATGTGTGTAGAAGTATTTTTTTATTATTTAGCGTCGACCGCGCTAGTCGGTTGACCAATAAAGAAGACGTCAGTCTTAGTGCGGCTGAAAACACAAAACGCTTGTAAATGACGCTAACTGGAACCCGATGTGTGTGTATGTGTGTGTGGTTCCGTTTCTGCTACAACTTGCAGGTGGACGTGGTTGAGGCGGCGTACACGTTGCTTCGGAGCAAGCTTGTGACGGTTCGAGACTTCGTCAGCCTTCAGCGGGCTCACCAGGAGTTCTTAGCCACCCTGCGGGCGAAATTCTACGTCGACAACCTCGCGATTGCTCAGGTACCCCTGCTTGGATCGTTTCATGCGTGCGACTTTGGCGCGCAAGGCGGGGAAAGTGCAAAACCTGGTTCTACGATACACAAAATACAATAAAAAGAAATGTGGGGCTGAGTATGGAAGATGTTCCAGAGCAGTACAACGTTGACGTAGTGAAGGGTTGATTGTGTCGGAGCGACTGCGTTTGTGAGCAGTTTCACGCCAGCCAATCTTTCGCGGCGGCAGCAGTTTACGCCGTTTTCATGCCGGAGGTTTACGAACTCGAGGATTGAAAGAGGTTTTGCATGGAATGTTGCAACTGCTTGTGCTGCCCTTGGGCGTAGGTGAGTCTCAGCGCGCGTTGTTTTTTGTCCCGCTCGTGCCATCATGTTAGGGGCTCGGGCGCGCCCTTCGGCATGTGCTGCGGTTCTGCTGCCTGTTTTCCTTGCACGGAAACGCCAAAGACATCCTGCCTTCCGAGGTGATGGCGCTTCACGACGCCTTCCAAGACGAGATGAAGCTTCTCGTCCCGGTTAGTCAGTATCTTCCTACTTTCGTCCCTCTCTGTACAGAGTGCATGTCGTGCGGAGGCAGGTAGTCATCCTCCGAAGATGTGGTGGTGGACGCGAATAACTTTGTTAAGGGAATATTACCTCCGCTCTGTGGGCAACGAGAGCATCAACCTTGTTCCAGCTGAAGAATGAGGCTCGGTAGTTGTTAGAGGCACCCATCACCTTCTGTGCGCAGTTTAGGTTATCCCAAGCAGGGTTCGGCGAGCATTGAGAATCACACGGTTGTTGTACGTTCAGTCCTTGCTGATTTCTAGTTTTCCTGCAGACAAGCGGCGGCCTAGGTATTTGATGGGAAACATCTTTACTTCTCTGTTGTGCCATTCGTCGGTGTGTTGTTGCGTTTTCTCGTTCAATATTTGGTCGTTGGCGTTTCCACAACCTACTCAGACACTACTACAGCAGTAGACTTTGTCTTTGTACACCACACACACAATTTTGCACAGTTTAATTTCGCTGACGCTGTGTTGTATTCGATACGCACCCGTTGCCGTGGGTCATGCGCAGGTGTTGGAGAAGGTCGCAAAGGAATTGATGATGCGCCTGGACTTCAACGGACACTTCTCCGCGGAGGCCTTGAACTAAAGCACTCGTTTACCCATTGGAAGTACTGCAGCAAGAGTCGTGCGTGAGAGACCAACGTTATTACAGAAATCCAAGAACAGGTTTATGTGACGGGCTTGGCCCACTTCGAGTAGTGGCCTGCTTGAACTGGCCTGCTACACCACGTAGCGATTGCTTGCTGTAGGGTAAGAGCACGTGGTGGGGCTGGAAGCACCCATGCTGCCCGTTGTCTCCGGGCCTCGCGCTTCCTGACCACGTCTTGGAGGTTGTCAGAAAGGCGACACCTGGCGAGACTCGAATTGACAGCGTTCCTTTTCGGCAAAAGATTTTTGTAGTCGAAGGCGATCGCGGTCGAGCACCTTCCAACATAAAAACAGGATGCATAATTAGTCGTTCCGCGCTGGTTCGGTATCTTCTGAAGTCAGTCAGTACGGGATAGGCCTGTTTTACGACAACTTCTCGTCCTTTCGACCCTGCCTACTGACTCGCGGGAGACGGTATTTCGCACCTGAGCTCATGTAGTGGAGCTCAAGTAGTGGTTTTCATAGTTTGGAGCTCCGGCTGGTCAGACGGCACCATAGACATATTTTTTGGCGCAATGGAGAGCCGTAGTAGCAGAGGTCAAAACGGTTTCAGTTTGACATGGTCGTATGCTACGATGGTATGATATCTTGCGGCTACGATGATCCTCTTGCAAGCCCTGGCTTTCCAAATCCACTTTATGCATGGAAGAACCGGTGGGTGTGACGGGCTCCAGCACATCACCGGGAGCCTGGTTTTTGGTCTTCGGTGCATTGGCTGTAGACTTCGGGGTATTGCCTACATTGCCAATTTAACGGTATCATGGGTGCCCACCCTTTGTTGTCCGAAAATTGGACCTGAGCGGGGAAACGAGGGTGCCCTTCACGTGCGAAGCAAGAAGAGCGTAATGACAAATAGTCTAGGTGACACGCTCCGAACCAAGATTCACGGCATGGCTATCGCGTTGTTGATGTTTTGTGAACTTGAAGTTCAGCAACGTGTTCGCACCTCCGCCCAGTACTCCTCTCACTTGAAAATGAAATGAAGTACACAGCAGCAGTAGTACAAGAAAATCGTACCAGCGTAGCAACTTCATCAGTCGCTGATCGGACCGGGCCATCATATGTGAACACAGCTGCATTCGACGTACACAATATAGAGCAACAGGACGCGACTAGATCTACATAGCATATATACCGTAAATCGCTGCCGTTTATTGCGGCAGCAGCAGCAGCCAGCCTAAGAAGCAGCATCAGCAGGGGGGCAGAGGTCATCATCGTCATCATCAACAGCAGCAGCAGCAGCGCAAGCACAGGTGCACGAATGCGTCGGTTGGTAAGGCGTGAGGCAAGGAGTGAATGGTCGGTTTCAGGTGTTCCGGTTCAGGGGGCCGGGTCAGGGTGTGCGATTAGAGAAGAAACGCGTCCATACAGTTGCAAACCTACCCTCTGCTGCCCCGCTCCCCGTCGCTCCGTGGCTCCCCATTTTCACACTTCCGAAGTATATATTGCTGCTGCTAAGTTTCAGCGGTACAGAAGTAACAACGATGGCGGAAGCAACAACAAGTAATGGGCGTGGCAAAACTCCCTCCTGTGATCACGGGGCTGGCGAAGAAACCCCCGATGAACGAAGCGTTGCGTTCGTGACGATGGTGACGAGCGACGATTTTGTCATTGGAGCCGAAGTACTGCTTCACTCCCTCCGCGAGCACTGCGGCGGCAGCACGCGACGACCAGCTTTGGTGGTGATGGTCACCTCTGGAGTGTCACAGCTGAAGAGGCAAGCTCTGAAGGTTGTGTCGGATGAAGTCATCGAGGTGCGACTGCTGTAGAGCTGTACTGTAAGAGGAGGACCCGGCACACCGGAGGAGGCGTCTTCCCCGGGACTGTCATTTCCGACGTCGCCAGCTGCGTACATTAGCTACACTCACACATGTAGACATTTTATTCCAGGAGAGTACGGAGCAGGAGTAGTACAGAGGAGAGTTTCGTGTCATGGGAGTCTAGATTATACGGCTCATGGATTATGGACTCTAAACATAGAAACTCGTGGCCGCTGGAGGCTCGCGCGCTGGCGGATCTGAGAGTCTGAACGATGAATCCACCATCATGAGATAATCTAGGCAACCAAGCGGGAATTTGAAGTATCCTGGACACCTGGTTTCCATTCCTAAAACCACTGCCTCGATTACACCCGTAGCCATTTGGCCACCCTGTGAACGGCAGAAAGGTGAACCGGCTGCAAGGTCTATGCTGAACACCCTGGACAGGGACCACCCTGCCAGGGTGGCCCGAATCGCACCTTGCAAGCAATCTGCGGCCGCGATATCAGTATGGTGTCTGTACTGGTACACTATTTTTTTTCATTTACCATCGCGATCGCGGGACTCTTTTCTTTGCGTTCATATTCGTTCATCGTCTCGTGCGAAATACAGAAGGCGCCGCCACTTGAAGAACTTGAGCCTCAAAAATCCAAAATCAAGAACTTGGCTTTCAAGGCAAGCAAGATATCAACACTTAAAACCTTTATAGTCGTTGTGGTGGTACCCCGTAGACAAAGCAAGAAGTAAGCCTCGGCCAAAACAAGAGGTTCAGTGGTGGCGCGGTCTGCACCCGCTTTGATCCACGATTGTCCAGCAAAACACGACATTTGGACCATGATAAGAATGATGAAGAGGTCAGGACACACGATGCACATCACAGACAAACAACCCTTCCCTGTCTTCTCAAAAACGGCACTCAAGCAATTGTCATTCTCTCCATCCCGCTCAAGCCGGCAATCTTTGCAACGTATTTGCTCCACGTATGATGTTGTTTGCCATCCACACGCAATACTCGGTTGCGCCCTCTCCCCTGCCGGACGAAATATCACCACCTACAATCCGTTCGAACTTACGCACGTGCCAGCCGGTTGGTTAGATTTACATAAAAAACACATAATAGTAGCAAACCACCGCATGGCGATATTGGGCTAAAACCTGACGAATACGCTGAACATAGGCAATCTACGGCTGGGTCATGCCCAACCGCCACACAAAGCGCCACGCCCAGGAGTAGTCCCAACAAATTCGCGACCCCGCGCGGAAGCTCAACTTCGTGAGGACGGAATGAGTGCTCACAACACTCAGCCATCACTTCATGTCGTCGACGAATAGGCCCGAAAAGCAACGTCGAAGTGCACGTCTTCGAGCAGGGTCTCTTCACGATGAGGTTGCCCTTCCCGTTCGCCAGTAGGGAGAGGAAGCGCACAATGTCAGGTTTTCCATACTCCGTGAGGATGGTGGACGCATGGCGACGAGGGCGCCATGACCTGGCGTGCAGCATGTTGCACAAGAATCGTGGCCAAATGTAACGAAGAGAAGGGCAAACCACGGGTTTGCGTTCGTCCCGGGGGGCTGGGCAACCTTTGATGCCTACAACGACCACCCTAAGGGTGGTGGAGAGGTTGCTCATTTTTGCGGATCAAGAACGCCGGGAGGGGATTTTCAACGTGTTTCCCACTTTTCCGGCCGGATGGGCAGGGTATTCGAGAGGGTAGTGTTGAAACGATTGTAGATGCTGAGGCATTATTTAACTACTTCTCACTGGTTCTGCCAACACCATAGTTGTACTCTGTTCTCTTAACGTTCCCAGGTCACACAGTAGAAGCATCAGTAGCCTCTACTTCCGACGCAATTATCAATCGGGATAAGCACCCCCTTCCCCATGCCTCCCCATGCCAATGCACAAGTGCGTCTTGAAGAGTTGCGGGAAAAGCCGTGGGTCGGACTTCGGGAGGAAATAAATGCAGCGAGATTATTCCTGGCCTATGTAGACGTGGGAATAAATCAATGTTGTCCATGGCACCTTCTTTGCCTCGGTTGGTAGTGTTGAGGGGAAATGTTCCAGGTAAAATCAAGTATAAACACCCATTCTGTCACCTGCTCGAGGAAGCACTCGTGAAGCAGGTCCTGTCACAAAAGTCGCCCCTTCGACAGTAAGTACTCGTCGAAGCCAGGCGTTCCTTGATGAATCGCCACATCATGTCCCTAGGGTGCTAGAATTAGCAACAAGCAACACAGGGCGCGCCCCCGAACAAGAACAAGAGAAACGTGCGGCTGTGTAAGACCACATCTGCACTCGCTACCAAGGACACAATTACCTCATCACCAAAACGATCCATGTCACAAATACACAGCTGACCAGACCCCCAACAGGGTAATTTCTTCCATCGAAACTGCATAAGGCAACAGCGGGTACTGCAGTAGCAACGATGCATGCACCCGTTGCTTACATGTCGTTCAATACGGTCTGGATGCCGGCGTACATTCTCGCGCCATTCTCCTAAAAAATCTCCCTTATCAATGGTCGCCGACTTGCGTCTCGCCAGCTTCGGAAGCAGCTCGACCTCAATGGTGTGGATCGCTGCCTGCCATGAGATTCGGCCACCACAACAACAGGGGGTAAAAAGGGGCGCTTTGGGTGGGGTCTTCGCACACCGAACACAACAAGCAACACGAACAAGAAACACGGGCAATGTACCTCAACGACGATCAACCATGAGAGGCATGGAAAGGGCTGAAATAAACTTGGGATAGTTGTGATAGTGTCCAACCAACCGTGGGCAGCCCGCGTTGAACCAAAGGATGCTAACTTGCTGCTTTGCTCAACAGCTGGTTGGCCGTGGATCGAGCCCAATGTCCGATGATCGCGGGATTCCAAGAAACGAAGAACGGGTGGAAATTCCAAAAGAGAATGAAATACATGCATTGCAGCAGAGAGGCGGATGAGCTCTTGGGAAAAAATTATTCAGCTTGGGGCAGTACCACACACGTTTTTTGAGTCACACAGCATCAGCCCGTTGGGCGCGGGAGACTTGAGAGGCCCCATCTACAAATCGTTCAAACCAAATCCCAGTCTTTCATTTGCGTGTTGCTCTCTTTTTCAATCTTTCATTTGCGCGGAAATCACGCAAGTCTAAAGTATACTCAATGCAACGGATACCAGTTACAGCAGCCACAGCTTGGAGAACTTACATCCGTGTAGTCAAATTACCCGTTGCATGCATACATTTATGCATATGACACGGCAAGTTGTTTAGTTTCCTACCGTGCGTCGCGTAAGATACCACACTCCCTGGACCAATAATCAACGCTCGACTACAGCAGTCTGCACCACAGTTAGGGACGGGGCCGAAAATGGCGGGGTTGGAACCGTCTTTTCGAGAGCTTTCCGAAAACGGACCATTTGGTTCGGCACCCTCTTCGTTGTGGAGTACGGGCGTGGAGTACGGCAGTCGAGCTTTTGATCCGGGGGCTGTGGTATCTTATGCGACTACACGGTAACTATTGTACATTTCTCTTCGACGAGCACTGTGCCAAGGGATCTGTCAAGGAAACATTTGCCAGCAAGGTGATTCTTGAGGCGGGCGTGTGCGCAAGCATGCAAGCGCGGCGCACGCGGCACGCACCAAGCAGGCGATGTACTGCTGTAGTTTTTTTTTTTGTTTCTTGAGACCACTTGGACAATTAAAAGTGGCCGGCGGCTCGAGATGAAAAAGTGTGTGAGTGCACATGAATGCCCATCCGTAGGAGGCAGCCTTCACCTGAGATTGAGATGCCGCGCGAATACCACGCCCGACTACTCCCGATTGTGTGCCTTGGCCTGTTATTCTTGTTGAGGCGACCACTGGACCATCAGGCGGCCGGCTCGTTCACAGCAGTTTGGACCTCGACAGCAGTACTGCTGCAGACATGCTTTCCCACCAACAACGCCGGGCTGCACCGTATTGCCGACTCCCGTTCGCGTAGCGGGAAGACGAGTTTTCATCCAGTGTTATGTGTGGATATAACACGGCACTGGCGGTGCGTGGTGCGTGCTGCGCTGGCGCGTCCGCCAAGCACGGACCCACGCCCCATCCCAACAGCGCCAGGGGCGCGACGGCTAGGTTATGAAGGGTACGAGGGGGGTCCGTGAGCACGGAATACAGTCCCGCTGTGAGCACGGAAAATTCAAATTTGCATCACCATCATCATTTGCATGCAAGCACAAACGAGCTGCCATTCTGCCCGTATGAACAATGCTGCTAGCAAGCGAGTGGGAGGAACTGTCCGTACTATGATGAATATTGCGAAAGAGAGAGGGAGAAGAGCGTCACCAAGGCTAGCATATCACTTACAGTTATCACAATGTGCGTCTATGGGGTGTCGTCTGTCGACAGCGGTGTCCATGTATGTTCCATAGCTGCAACCACAGCTAGCTGTGTAGACTACTGAAGGATCTTCCCTTCTTCTTAGCGATGGCAACGCAATTTGTTGTCTTTCACGGCCCACAGACCTGCATATACAACCCAGGCAGCGTCGACACCCTGGCAGGGTTCCTGCCCGTGGACCTTCTGGGTACCGATTACCTTGGCAGGTTGTCACAGCGAAGGTACAGGGTCTATTTGCCCGCAAGGTCCGCACAGGGTGAGCCAAATGGCTACGGGTGTTGACAGGAATCGCAGACCGAGGAAGTTGACCTCACAATCTCCGTGTAGATGATCTGATGTACTTTGTGGGAATGTTGGATTTGTTGCCACCTCTGGGTCAACGCATGGTGTACGCGTGCGACACAAGCGGGCTAGAATCACCCATTCTGTCGAGGCGAGGCGCACACCCACTCCGATAGAAGATACCAAGTCCACTGACAAACGAAAGTAACTACAAGCTGTCGCGCCAAGGGTATGCGCGAAGAACAATTCAAGACACATAGGCCTACCAATCGAAGATCGGGGTCCATGGGGGGAGGCGGGGTCATTTGGGGGGAGGGCGGGGACATATACCGCAAGGTTGCGAGTCAGCTAGAGCACAGGGGTGCGATCGATTTTTCAAGCGGAATTTCTCCACAACCAGAAGGGTGCGAGCGCCAACTGATACTTCTCAGAAAAGCTCTCGATGAGATACTTCCAAAACCGCCCTTTTCGACAGTGGTAACCTCCTGGTTGTGGAGAAATTACGCTTTGAAAATAGCTCCCACCCCTGCCTGTGCGCTGACTCGCAACCTTACGGTTATACCCATGTATCCCCGGTTTTCACGCCGAGGCGTCGGCGCTTTGGCGTCCGGATCTCAAACCCTAACCCTAACCCTATGTAACCCATACAAGCTCTCTCTCGCAGAGAACGTAGCGAGACACCGCGCGAGAACTCGCAAGCGGTGGTCCGCATGAGTAAGCGTGGTATTATATTGATCAAGTCAAACGTAACCCTACAAAACCAAGGCTACGAGTAGATTTTCGATACTGTGTTCCCTGTTGCGCAGTGCTACAAGCGGCAAGGTAAAAAAACTGCAAGGCAGGTGGTTGTGTTGGATGGTGATTAGCTGTGAGCTGCTTTGAGCTGCTTCGCTCATTTTTTCGAACTTTGGTCGATATGTACTATACTGCTGTATGCTTTGTAGATATGGGGCGCTACCGTACACGCGTTCCTGTAGCACGGCTGGGTGAGCGTGGGCCGGCTTCTGACAGGCGGATCGATTCGGAAGGGGTAACGAGAGCGAGGCATGTTTACAATCCATCGAACCTCATGGTAACTTTTCGATGACATCGTGGTTATTTGTCGAATTTCTCTCCCTTCCGGGAGGGGGGGGAGGGGGGGGGCTATGTGTCCGTATTTTTTTTTCGCGAAGACCCTTGGTCGCGCTGTAAATGTTCTCATTTCAATAACTCACTGAATCGAGCGCATTTCCACGTCAGGTGGAACCAATCGCAGTGCCAATTAAACGGGCGGCGGGGCACGTGCCGGCATGGGCAGATGTGGGTGAGAGCTTGACGTACACGTACATGTAGTTGATTCCCTCCATGGAAACGAAAGATGTTCATGACCGGCCGATTCTGCCGTTTCTGCCGATCATCGCGACACACAGAAAACAGAAGGTGTCCAATTGAGCCACCACACGACGTTCACGAGGACGGATTTTGTTTTTTTGGTCTACACTTCAAATCAGCGCTCATAGCACTAGTGCCGTTTTACTCCAACCCCTTGTCACACAGAAGGGCCCCTCTCTACCATCCCCTCCTGCGGTACGTTGCCTTCGATTTTCAATGCGAGAAGAGTTCAGCACTCTCTTCCCTCTGTGTACACAACTAGCGCTATCCACTAGGCCAGGAGCAGAAGCGAGAGAAAAACTCACTTTGCAAGACAAGCTCGCTCACGCCGGGATTCGAAGCCCTGGCCTGACCTCTAGAAGGTCTCGAGGATACCAACTAGACCACCGGGGCGACCGGCTCACGCTTCACTTGATTTGCGTCAAACCAGCACGATGAGAACGTGATTCAATCGTCCAAGCACAACTTTCGCACGCGCTGTTCGTACCACCCCCACCGCCCGCTGCCACGCCGTCACCGCCGCCGAAGGGTACACAAAGCTACGCGTGTGGGGTTTGATCCAGTTCAGACGCGTTGTGTACATAGATGCGGACGCTCTCGTGATGGTGGACATTGACGAGGTAAATTCTGGTATGTAAGTATGTCGGGTGCCTCCGGTGGACCGGTAGACCGCACTGGCGATACTGTACTCCTGGTGCGTGAAACTGCTGATTTCCTCTAGTCTCATGATTTTCTTTGATCAAAGACTATACCCCACGGTCAATGTTGTTTGCGTTACGCCGTTGTTCATGATACCGGGAGCAGCTGTTCGATCGGGAGGTGGATTTCGCCGCGGCACCTGACGTGTTTCCACCAGACAAGTTCAACGCCGGAGTAATGGTTGTGGTGCCGTCGCTGATTGTCCTGGAGGACATGATGTCCAAGGTGGAAGAACTCCCATCGTACGACGGCGGAGACACCGGTGAGAGAACAAGGCGGCGGAAGAAACAAGAGCTCGGGTACTACCCTTTCAGCGCTGTTCTATAGGAATGGGTGACTTCAATGAGACGTACCCGTGTTGTGGGATTTGAGGACTAGGATCTGAACAATAGTTCATATTTGGCGGCGTCGGCAGGATGCACTGGAGAGTACATTCAGTCGGAAAGCGGCGCTGCACGCTGCTGGAGCTCTGAGCCTGAACCTAGATCGCAACACATAGCCCTTGCCACATCATGAGCATAAATGCGGCTGCTTACTCTGCTGACCAGCCTACATGAGCGTTGACGCCGCCGTCCCTGTCCCAGGTTTCTTAAACGCCTATTTCGCGGATTGGTTTTCAAGGCCGGCGGCTGCAAGGTTACCGTTCGCGTACAACGCCCTCCGCACGGTCTATTGGACAACTCACGAGAAGAACCCTGGGTACTGGGAAGCGATCGGCCCCGTGAAGGTGCATACAGCTCCTTTTGGTTCCACCGCTATCCACGGAAGGCGTGCTTCGCCTCTGCCCCGGCCCCCCTCAAATTCATGGCAACATGACAAAAACTTCGTGTCTGCCAGCTGAAGTCATCGGGAAAGGAAGAGAGTATGGAAATGGCGGTTAAATCTATGGTGCTTGGCCTTAATGTGCATGGATGCTCACACCAACTTGTCGTTTCGCGTACTCCAGCACCCTATCCTAGTTCGCAGTGGCCTAATGGTATCCACGTTTGTCGAAGTTTTGTGCTGCCGATTTTAACGCCGGTTTCGTTACATATTGGTACGTCATCTGTAGGATTGAGCGCAAGTAGAGCTGTTACCTGGATTTCCTCAAGGTGTCCGCTGTTTGCTGTTTGACATGCAACCTAATCACTGCATTTTTGCCCTGTACCCCACTGACACATACCACTCTATCCACCTGTCGCTATTGCCTTTTGTTCCTTCAGATTATTCACTTTTGCAGTAGCCCCAAGCCTTGGGAAGAAACCAATCGCAAGGGAGACCTCGAGATGACGTGGTGGCAGCGATGCGTCCAGATGAAAATGGGCTGAGTACCTGGCATGGACGGATTTGTCTAATCGCGCGAGTGCTTGTCTATTTTCCGGCAGTTGCTGTTTGTGTTGCTGTTGCCAAACGGATATGCACAAAAGTGGAGGTACGAGAGATGTCTACTTTTGTAGAAAAAATATCAGTGACGGACTTGAAGCCCAACGGCAACAACTATTTAGCGTGAACCGTCCTGGAGGTACTTTGCGACTCAGCCCGGAACTACGTTCGCCGGTCGTTCATGCCCCCTTTCGACTTGTTCCAGCTCGGCGGAAAGTCGCACCTACTGTTTCACACAACCTACTCGTTGGATTGAGGACAGCTCGGCCACTGCCACTGCTGTATGGGGAGGGCAAAACAGATGGATTCCTCTATGGATTTCTCATCTCCTAGGTGCTTATGTGGAGGTGCTTCGTCGCTTAAGTCCACTTGCCGCCCAATGGTAAACACGACTGAGAATCCTCGGTGTAGAGATCTTCGGGAGAGAGAGACACAAGTGCAGCAGAAGGAGACAGTGTGCTTCTGTAGACGCAACAGCTATCTCCACCCATAGGCCATGAGGGCAGCCCGTGATAGGATGGTGGGCACAGGCAGGGTTAAAGAAGGATTGATGCGTGGTCGCGGTGCGGCCGGTAGGGCAGATTGGGCTTGTAGAGCTTGAAAAGATCAGTCATCAAGCTGCCTTAACCACTCTATTTTCAGTATATTCAAACGATCAGTGAGAGCGCTTTGTAGACCCGTAGCTGTTTTTTTGTACTTCTGTACTTCTCTGTCCCCTCCCCCAATGTGAACCCTGCCGGCTCACTACAGCTCCTGTGATTTTCCAACCATTCCCACAAGCACGCAAACACATCAGAACACACCTACCTTGCATCACTGGCTCTCTAGGTCCGGGCGAGGGTATGTTGTTGTTGTTGTTGTTGTTGTTTCTCACATTAGCTCTTAGTCCACAAAAAATGGGGAGCCCGTGGTCTCAAAACCCGGCACATACGACGCCGCGAGAAGAAAAAAACAAAAATAGGGTACAAACCACTCGGAAAAAGAAAACAAAATGATAGAAAGAAAAGAACAGGTATCGCACCGACCGTTCGAGAAAAGAGTCCTCGGAAACCGATCAAAATTAAAACAAAAACAAAAATAAGGGAGGACGCTTCCCACACCCGCCCAAAGAAATAATCAAAGGGTAACGTACCAGCATCAGGCACTACGCACAGGACATGGGAGTAACGGAGCAAACAGGACAAAGAGGCGGAAGATGGGCAGACAGCCAGACGTACAAAAAACAAAGGCAACAGCAAAGCGAGATCAAGGTACCCAACACAGCAGAGTAGGCAGGGAGGTCATGAAAAAAAGAAACACAGCACAGCGGCCGAAGGCAATACAACGGACATACATAAAGGAGTATAGCATACAGCAGGGAAGGGAACCGGGCGCAACCACATCAGCCGGGTACATAGTTCGCCACAAGTGCTGCCTCGGCCGCCCTACTCGCTTCTACAGCAGTGCCCG